CATCCATTATGCACAAATGCCAAACCCTGCAGCCCCAAAGTCGCAAGTCGATCTGGCCTTCTATGTGCCTTTGGGTCTGACGTAGGGACCAGCAGAATCAGAGTAGGTTTCAGGGTAGATCGTCATGCTCCTGTCCAGGGACTAAAAGGAGATACTATCACCAAGTATTCTGACCTCTGTAGACTCTATAAACATCCATAAACTATAGGCTATAGTGAAGTGTAGATCGAGCCTTTGACGAGGCCTTGAGTGATGCTTTGCGATGACTGGCAGAGGTCTTCTGAGTCTTGTGGCTTGCCCACAACGGCGCCTCAGATTGAAGGGTTCATGGATTTAAGGGGTTTGGGGTTCATATTGGGATTTAGGGTTTAGGGTAGGGCTGCAGCTAATAGGACTACGGTCAGGGATGCCTTCTCATTTTTGCAGATGATACCGGCAAGGGAGAGTTCTGGCCCCCGGGGCCCCACGTCACAATCATCACTGCCACAGCACGGCAGTAAGTGGAACCGTCAGCTTCGGAGGGAATTGCGGAACATCGGCCGCACATGAGCAACAACAGAATGTTGGTTTGGACAAGAGACCTCTTCTGTGTCTGATCAACCCCATATGCACACTGCCAGGATGCTGGTGCCACCCCTAACCGTCTCTCTGCCCGGTTGTGGTAAGTTCTGCATCTTGACTTCTGCGAGGCTTGTTCGATCATTAGCGATCATTAGCCAACCAGCCTGATGCCGGCTCCTGGCAGAGCATTTTTCCCAGCCCGGCACCAGTTCCGATCGCCAAAGAAGTGGAGGAACCAGTGCTAAGCTATGCAAGGTGCCCAGTCAGACTTATGGCGGGCAATGACTGGATGGAACTTTGTAGTTGCATGACTTCCTGAGATTCTTCGTTCTTCCCAGAGCCCATCGAGCCAGAGGGTTGCATGGGATTCGGGGATCACTGGTTGGGGTTGCGACATGTCTGATGAGTCTGATATTCCGGATACGCCAGAGGACGCCAAAGCCATTAGTCCTGAAAGGGCTGGGCGTTTCCACCCGCAGTGACCCGCCTTGACCGTAGAATGCGGGGTTGCAAGTGCCACCGTGGGGCCAATGTGCCTCTGCACCTCGCCGGACGAGAGCGGTCTATAAGTAAGCATTGCAAGTATCATCTCCTGTGCTGATTCGCCTGGATCTGTGACCTAATATAGAGGCCTGAATAATTAGAATAGGGTTTTGGAGGTTCCTTGTTATAATTATAGTGTAATTGACCCAAAGCCCTATTCTAATTATTAAGGCCCCTACATTAACAAGCTGTGGACGGTCTTGGCTTTACGACATTCAGGGCTTCGGTGATATGCAGCCGTGCCATGCGAAACTGAGGTTGAGCAGCCTCAACTGTGGAAACACCCCATGCCCGAGACCCTGCATCCGCACCGGACTGCGTCTCATCCCAAAGGATGTACCGGCACTTCCAAAAGTCCGCAGTCTTCCCTCCTAACCCAGCTCCGCCAAACTCGACCCTGCGCTCAGAGCAACAGGTACACCTTGGCCGAGATCGAAGTGTTGATTCCACACCTCCTCGGCCAGAAGTATCCCGATGTCATGCAAAGGCCTGGTACTTGCTGCAACGGAAACACGAACCCTTGGATCTGCGGCACGGCACTGTAAGGCTTCTGGCGAGGAGTAGGTAGGTCGGTCGTGGAAGGCTGAGGATGGATTTTGGGAGATTTTGGGTGAAGGGCTCCATACCCGGCATGCTCGCATTTCCCAACGGAGCTCTGTGGAATCATGTTTAAATGTGGGCGAAAGCCCAAGTTTGCCCAGCTGTTAGATTTCAAGATGCTGCTCTACGGCTGTGGAGCTTCCAAAGTCACGGTGTGCCGTTCTAGTGGCATCCCTGTGCAGCCTCGGCGAAGCCAACTGGATCGTTGTGATGACGTGCCTCATGCAGGCCTGGTAGCTGGTTCTCAAACTGATTGTTGCACGGAAATGGGGTGCAAGGCCTTGTGCACGCACATGAACTGTCAACCAAGGGTGTTGCATAGCGATGCCCGAACTCTTGATCCGCGGAGCGGGCCATTGCTCTAAGAGCCCGCCTAAAGCCCTGATAAACCCTAGAGCGATCCGCCGAAGCATTGGATATGCACGGAGTATCACTATTATTCACTGCATCTCTAGGGTTTGTAGTTGCCGTGATACGGGTAACAGCTTAAGCAAATTCGCCAGAACAATGGTCGCAAGCGGAACCCATATACACACCCACATGTATACATGCGTGCCCATACACCAGGCTTACAGACACACAGACAATACCAGTAATTACGTTCTTTATGGACGTGTGCGTCTCTGTGCGTGTGTGCGCATATGTATATGTATATGTATATGTATGTGTATATGCATATGTATATGTATATGTATATGCATGATGCATGATATTTAATACGACATCCGCTTCAAGCCGGGCATAATCAGTACCTGGTGTAGGATACTCCCGTAACTTGCTGCAGTCTGCACGCCCCATCTTCGGGGTAGATCTGAGATTGCTGCTGGACGCAGGGCTCTCAGCACCTTCTCTTGAAGGTTTGGCGTTGAAGGGGGGGCCAGATTACAAATACCAGCCCGACGGCTTGTAGGCTGAGGCAAGGATAGCAGAATGATCCTGCCTCCTGAGCCCTGAACCAGCGATGATCCACGTTGTGGGGGGCTGTAGTGTCTTTTCATGTTCCAATTACCAGGGTGTAAGAGGGCCTTCCAAACAACCCTAAACCCTCAACCCCTGGATTCCAAACCCCTAAACCCTAAACCCCTACAGTAAACCCTAAACCCGGTTCCTAAATCCTAAACCCTAAACCCCTACATTAAACCCTAAACCCCTAAACCCTAATCCCTAAACCCTATGATGAGAGTGTACTGCAAGCCGCCCCTTGGCAGCTCTAGAGCCGGACGAGTCCGGGAAAGGTCGCATCACATTTTGTTGGCCACCTCCTTGGGGGCTCATCGGGTTTTGGGGGCTCGGGCTCTTATATAGACATATGTATATATATATATATATACATACAATCACACAGTTATAATATGTGTGTATATATATATATATGTATATATATATATATATATATATATATGCATACGTACAGAGGTACCCATACATATATTTATTTCTTTGTTTATTTATGCATGTATTCATGTATGTATTTGTTTATTTGGTTAGTACTACTGTAGTTTATGAGTTTTTTCTATGGTTTACTTTGGGGTTCGGAGTCTGGGGTAGTGTGAATGTCAGAAAGTCTTGCCAAGGTCGGTTCCGATGTTCTCAGTCAAGTGAGGCGCTCGCCAGGACCGGTTCTGAACCGCAGGGTTTCGTGTCTAGAGTTTGGCGAAAGCAGGCAGTTTCCGTAGTAAGCCCGTTTGATGTCCCAGCCATGCTCACCTAAATCCTAAAGCTTATAAACCCTAGCCTTTAAACTTTCTACCCTTCCAGCTCACACCACAAGTCACACAGAGGCTTTCTGTTTGTGCTGCAGCCTTCGCCTTCGCAGCCACGAGGCTCCTCTTGACAATAATATAGTATGGACAGAGTATACTGGTATATTCTACTATGTTGCAGATTTGTTGTAGCATGTTGCGGTATATTAAGGTACATCAGACTTGGTTTTGTTTTTAAAGCTCACCGCCAGCAATTGACTAGTATCATTATGTGACTTTTCCGTGGAGCGGAATGATGCGTCGATGCCGCCTGGAGATTTGAGCACTCCTCTAACACAACGCCAAGGTCTCAAGAAGACGTTCGCATGACATCAACACCCTTAGCCCTAGGCCCTGAACCCTACAGGCTAGTAGGGGCCTCAATAATTACCTATATTGTTGCAGGGGTTCCTTTTTATAATCATACTATAAAGGACCCCAAAACCCTAGTGTTAAAGCCCAGAGGCCGTGAGCCCCAAACCCTGGAGGTTTAGAGCCCTAAACTCCAAAGCCCGACATCCCCAAGCACTGGCTGCCATTTTTTCGCCATGACCTTTACGAAGCCAGAGGCCAGGTCGGCTTGGGCTGAGCGGTGGGAGGGCTGAGGGTTTAGGGCTTCAGGGCTTGAGTGGGATTTTGATGGCCACAAAATTCAAAGTTCAGGGTTTTCGCGTGTTGGGTGGATGGTATTCAGGATTTGTGATTTGGGCCTTTGGGCCTTCCAGATCTCCCTTCCGAAGATCGGTGGTTAGGGTTTAGAGCGTTTTGGGTTCAGGGCTTGACTTGAAGTTTTGAGGGCAGGGGATCCTGTTCACGCAATCATCTCAAACGGCGGCGTAATGTAGGACCACTGTAGGGGCCTAAATAACTACCTATATTATTTTAGGGGGGTTCCTGATTATTATAACTATGCTACAAAGGGCCCCAAAACCCTACTGCAATTATTAAGGCCCCTATATTTAGCCTTGGTAGGGGTGTCCTACACACCCTCGAGTCGAGCCCCAACCAACAGTCGCAATCATGTTCACGGTTTAGGGTTTAGGGTTTAGGGTTTAGGGTTTAGGGTTTGCATCTACTCTGCCATATGGTTAGTTCTCTAAATTAGGGTCCCGTTTGGGGTCCTTTCTATAAAGGTGCCGTACTATATTGGGGATTCAAAAAAGGGACCCTAGTTTAGAGAACCTCCCATATTATTTGTGACAGAATGCTGGGCCCCAACAACTGGCAAAACCAGCTTCCGGAAGACAGGGGTGATTGTAGGGGCTTAAATAATTACCTATACTATTTTGGAGGTTCCTTATTGTTATTATAGTATATTGGGCCCCCAAAACCCTATTCTAATTATAACGGTCCCTAGATTAAGTTTGTCTGCCTGCAGTCGCTTGGCTCACAATCCTGCACACCTACTCAATACCCCAGAACTTGTTTGCTTGCTGTGCTCAAGCTTCCCAGCCCCACTATCTTCTCGCCCCTGCAGTCACCACCCAAACTGGGCACCAGGCCTCCAGAACGTGCAGCCACGAAGAGTTGAAAGAGGGATACGCGACTGCATAGGTGCCAAGGCGTTTGGCAGGCAGCGCCTCCGCACCGACGCTCAAGGCGGGGGGATGTAAGCTCATGATTCGAAACATGTGGGGACTGTACACACGTTCCTCGGACTGGGATGTACAGATGAATTGGCTGTCGTCGGCTATGCTGGGGCTGGAGGTGTTGAGTTTGATTTGAGTGTTCATTGTGTTCTTGGTCCGATGTGACGGTTTGTCCCGTTCGGTGCTGGTCTGTTGAAGTTTCGCTGAGCCTTCAGGCGTTGGTGGCTGCCACCGTGTCTCGAGAAGTTTCGCTTCCCACCTTCTTGAACCCAAAGCCTCAGCATGCCCGAGCACCTGCCGACCCGCCCAACTGCTGGTTGGTGCATTCCTTTGTCAGCCACAGTTCTCTTAACCCTGAACCCTAAGCCCTAAACCCAACGGGCGTTCGACGAAACGGGCTGATGAATCTGGCGAAAAGAGCACGTGTTGTTTCGCAGAGCAAGCCCTGCGCCTCGTTTTCACGCCGATGTTGTGGCTTGCCGAGCTCGACGGCATACTTTTTACGTCAGAGCTCGACCCAGAACAGCAAAGCACGAGTTTGGAGAAGTTGTTTGCTGGTACGTAGGGTCCAACAGGATGGGGCATCTCAAATCTTGAGTGGCCAGGCTCCTCGCCTCAGCCGGGCTCCATCGGACAAAGGCATTCCGCTATCTTCTGCTGGAAAAGACTTTGCTAATGGTCGTACCCTGACCCTGAACGCTAAACTTGCACAACCGAAACCAACAGTATCATTATCGCCACCACCATCCTCATGCTCATTGTCATCCTCCTACTCATCATTGTTTTCCTCCACCACCATCATCAGCATTGGCCACCGTCCTCATCTTCTCAATCGTGACAATGCTCAGGAGAATAAGACTGTCGTCACGGCTGTACTCGTGATGCCAACGAGGTTGTTGTGTAATGAGGCCCAGCCTCCCCGCAATCCTGCACTTCGCATTTTCCCGTCCGATGCTCGGGTGTTGGGGAACAGCCCATCTTCCGCGAACAGGCCGATACATGCAGTGTAAGGTGTCTTGAGCAGAGGCTTTCGTGGTTCCACTTGCCGGTCTGGGGATTTGCTGAGGATCTTGGGTGGCATATGTATACAATACTATGCTTCTGGCACCCTGCATATGGATCTCTTGCATGTGTGTAGCATCTAGCCGCTCAAGAGGAGGGATGTTGGGTTCACCGCATCTTAGCGTTCCGGCAGAGACAGTATGTCATTTCAGAGACAAAGTCACCAACAAATCGCTGCATGAATTCCCAAGTACCCACCTTTCGTCGAAGCTTCACGAAGGAGCCCATCACGAACAGCCTCGAAAGCTCTCAAAACGTGACAGGAGGTGTGTTCACGCCCCCATGCGAGGCGAGCCTCAGGCCTGCTCCGACATATGTGCTAACATGATTGCTACAGGCAACAGGTGAGAAGTTTGGGATGCCAGAAGATTATCGACTAAAGGAGCACCGTGTGCAGTAGGCGCAGCAATTGCATCTGAGGACGTGTTGACAGCTGTCAATTTCTGCCGTTGTCCTTGTTGGGTGTTCATCTGTAAAGGTATAGGATAGTTGCCTGCACTAGCCAGGACCACTGTGAGGGACGGCGTGCCAAAGGCGGGGGCCCTAGATGTCTCCACCCTCTGTCCTGGAAGAGTCTTCTCGTCGTCGTGTGCCGAGGAACAGATCCGACATCTGTTTCGAGGCCCCTCCATTCACTGTCGGTGTTCTTCTTATTGGCATCCCTGTTATTGTTGGTTATCTATTTGTTATTGCTTGACTGAATGAGGTTTTCGATGATCCGCCGGGGTTGTGAGGGTCTCACATCTTGGCAGAACGTATGTGAGTGTACGATAGGTCCTTGAACCTCCACTTTCGACAGGCTGCAAGGTCTCGCAGGCATGAAAGCGCAGCGTGAAGGCAAACTAGCAGTCCAAAAGCAATCGAAGTGCAACCCGATTCCGACCGATTCCCATAACTGTTTGCAAGCTTGGACTGCCGCAAAACGGCGAAGTTGATGGTTGCAGGCACACCGGTGTCTGCCAGAGCGCTTAGACCGCGTGCCCGAGCCTTGGGTGTCCTAAGCCACGATGCTCACTCCATATAGGGGCCTTGTATAATAATTACCTGTACTATTTATGGGGGTTCCTTATTATAAGTATATAAAGTATTAGTATACACTCCGAGATCTTGCAACCCCAGCTCCCGAAACCCAGAGACTACACATCTTCAAAAGGTAATATAGGGCCTTAATAGATACCTATACTAGTTAACCTATACTATTCTGGAGGTTCCTGATTTTAGAAAAAGTTTTATGGGCCCCAAAATTAAAACCCTATTCGAAATATAAGGCCCCTATATATTTTTTCACACAGGCTCAGGATTCCAAGAAAAGTCCCCGGCTTTTCGAAGAGATGATAGCTGGGTTCGCGATGTGCGGCGTGGATGTGCAGACTTCAGAAAATTAGGATTTAGGGTTTAGGGTTTAGGCAGACTGCCCGGATTTGATGGACAGGGCCTAGGGGAGCGTACGAATCGCAGCCAGCAGTCAGTCAAGAACTTGCGTCCTTGCCCCGAGGCCGCACCACCGGACAATGCAGCTGCCCAGCCACTGCAACGTCTGCGACCCAGGAGTGCCTCGAAGAACTCCGGTTGCGGTGGGGCTTCAGCAGAACTGAGAGACACGCTCAAAGCATCTGGATGTTTCTTCGTTGCTTGGGCCGAGCTCTCTGACATCCTGACCCACAGGGGCCATGTGGGAGTTTCTCTCCACAAGGAAGCTACGTAATGCCCATTCAAAGGCCACCCTAGTTTTCTGAAAACCACCCTCGAATCGAGAGTCGGCTGAGGCGCTGGAAGGGTCCAGGAAGCCAAGCTTTCTTGAACTTTGGGAAGTTTATTTGAATCAATCCTGAAACCGGAAGACCAGTCACCAATGCGGAGGGTTTACTCTATGATAACTGCTTTATGCGTCCACATGTCTGTAGCAGATGTCGCTACCAAGTGTATATACATGTAAGACGAACGATGGGCTCAACCATTTGAGCACTTGGAAGACGCACGTTAGACACGGATGTGTGCAGTTTCGGCTGTGTCGTGCATGCCATTCTTGATTATCTAGGGGTCCCAAACCGCGCCTGTACGCTCATCCTGGCACATCATGGAGTCTAAATTACTTGGAGGGTTTAAGCCTTTCATTGGTTTCAGGTTGAGTTTCAGCCGTGCGGCTGCGGAGCTTGCGGGTGGTTGGTTCATTAGGTTTCGGGACCAAACTCCAACTCGAGCCAGCCGCAAAGCGTCAGCAAGTTGAGGCCTGCAAGACCCTTTGGGTTTAGGGTTTAGGGTTTAAAGGGTTTAGGGTTTTAAGAGGCCTGTTTCTAGTGGACCGACCACCCGTGGACGCCTTGCACTGCTTTGCCGTGCGGGCTCAGCGAATGCTGTCTGCGTGTACGTGCTTTTATATAGGACCTGTAGTACTGTTACAGTACTAGAGTGACTAGAAGGTTCTGAATAATGTTGTAGTTCTGTAGAAGATATCAAGGGTCCGTGCTTACCCGTTCCCAAAGGTCAACCAAGTCGGTCCTCATCGCACGCAAGGATGACTGTGTCTAGATCGTGGGACTGGCATGAAAGTCTTTTGGACCTGCAGATATGAGAACTGATGACGATCATCATCACCAGCATCATTATCGCCATCTGTGCCATCATTGTTCTTCTACTGAAGCACAACAGGTCCATCAGAGTGGAACGAGATTGATCCTCCAGAGTAAACGAAGTTCAGGATGTCTGGTCCAAGACGGTGAGAATTAGGGCTTCCAGCTTTGCTTCTTGGAGTACGGGCTTGGGTTGACCTGGTGTCGGTTTTGCGCTTAGGATTCTTCCAAGTGGTAGGACGTCTGTGAGACGCAGGCACCGTCTTCGCTTGAAAGAGTCCTGGCCAATGAAGTACCACGTACCAGGTCGCGGTCATAATGATAAGATCCATAGTATAAGGTGCCTGAGTCCCTAAGCCCTAATCCCTCACCCCACCCTGTGGCCAATTTCCTTTGCGGGAAGCTGTTTTTTTTCGGCCTGCTGTTCGTTCGATGTAAGCAGGGACAAGCCAGGTTATGGAGACATTCTGCCCATGCATTTCCTCTGGTAGTTCTCAGAACCTGTCATGCCAGACAGCACCAAAATATAAATGTAAATGCAAGTAAATAATTAAACAAATATAAATAAGTGTACATACTACATACAGTTACATATATAAACTTACATGGTTGCCCAGAGCCTAACGGAGTGCAGCAGGACGGTCGAGCAGACGACGACCTCTCTCCCACAGAGCAACGACAGTTCTGTGAGGCAAGGTGTTGAGCTTGGTATCATTCATGGTGCACTGTCGGTCTGATAGGAGGTATACTATAAGGAGAATGACAGCAAGAATCCACTATAAGGGATCCCAGTATTATATAGAACCCTACAGTACCCGTAACGTTATAGAACTTTATGGTACCCTTAAGGGAGTCCCCACGGGCTGCTAGCCACGTGGTATGTACTTCGTCGCTTAGCAAGTGTGGCGACGAGGAGCCGCGTGCCGGCCTGACAACTTCGTCCCGTCGCTTCGTGTTATTTCAGGTTCAGGGTTTGGTGTCTAGGGATTGCCGGGAAGAAAGCAATCGGATTTCGTGGCTGTTGCATACAATGCATATATCTATATATCTATCTATCTATCTATCTATCTATCTGTCTATCTATGTATCTATCTATCTATCTATCTATCTATCTATCTATCTATCATATGCCGATGGGGATGCGTGCAGTGTTTCTGCTTGCTCGGTCATGGGTGTCGCTACTCTTCTGGAACGGGGCCAACGTGTCGCTTAGCTTCTTCTATAAGATAGACTCCGGGATATCGTAGCTTAAACCGTAAACCCCAGGCCCTAAACCATCTTCGAGATGGGAATCGAGGATTTTTGGGGTGTCGGGATCAGTTTCTCAGAGGACACGGTTGACTTTTTGAAGGTCCCCACCTCCAGAGCTATGTGTCCGAGTGCGGACAGATCTGCTTGAGGCAGAAAGGGTGTCCTAGCACGGGAAACATGGATCTCTACCCGCTACCCGTAAAACACATCTCGTTCTGGATGCAGGCTGCGATCCATTGAGGCTTTGCTCACAGAATTCTGAGTTGACGTACTTCCGTCGCTGTTCTGCTTCAGCAGCCGGCGAGTATGAATCTGAACATCACAACGAGACCCAACCAACATCTCTGTGAGGACCAACTTCGTAAGAGAAAGGCACTCGAGATACCCAACCTTTCCCGGATAGTTCTCTGAAGACTACCCGGAGCACTTCTAAGATGGCAAGCAAAGCCCTTCATAGTCGACTCGGGTGATGCCGGCATAGCCTCTGCTGAGATGGATCTGCTCTTGAGTCCCGGCTTGTGGTTGCACAACTAGGGGAGAGAGAGAGAGAGAGAGAGAGAGAGAGATAGAGGAACAGAGAAAGACAGAGAGAGACAGAGAGAGACAGAGAGAGACAGAGACAGACAGAGAGAGAGAGAGAGAGAGAGAGAGAGAGAGAGAAGGAGGAGTGAGGAGCGAGCGAGCGAGAGAGAGAGAGAGAGTGAGAGAGAGAGGCAGAGAGAGAGACGAAATCATGCAATGACATGGGCACCAACTGCTCAGGAATAAGCCGCCGACCAAGAACACGAACCCGTTCGGGTGGTGGCCACTATGGCAAGAGGCCAGAACCGACATGGGCTTCAGCCCATGTCTCGACAGCACTAAGCCCGAAAGCCCTGCAGCCAGGGCTTGGGCCTCTTTTTCGCCACACAGTCCCAACATCAGCCATCAGCAAAGATGCAGAGTGGTGTTTTTCGAAGAATCCTCCACTAACTCCTTGAAGAGCACGGAGTTGTAGTTGAGTTCAAGGATGGCAGACAAGTCTTGAACCTTGTACCCTCAACCCTACACCCCGAACCTTCACCAACCTGAAACAGTACTGCTGCCAAACAAGCCCCAAACCACTAGAAAACCCTTTTAAAACGCTTACACAGCCTTCCCAAAGCCTTTATAGACTTATAGAACATTATAGAAACATTTTTGATCGCCCTCCCTTGAGGTCGTTCCCCTGGAAGATGGACGCCCGGACAAGGCTCTGGTCGTGGCGAATGTGGGCGCTGGGCTCATGATCGGCATTCGACAAGGCCCGGTTTGGAGGTCATTCTTGGGTTTCCGGTTTATATAAGGATTTATAGGAGTTTAGGATTTGAGGTTTAGGGTTTAAGTTTAAGGTCTAGGGTTTTGGGTTTGAGGCTTCGGGTTTAGGGAATTGATATGATTATTGCTACCAGGTAACGGCTGTAAGGCTATATAGTGCTATAGACGAGAAATAGCATGGCAGGAAATCACAGGATAGTTGGTCCATCTGGCATGATGCCACCAGTGGTCCCGTGGTCGTTCTGAGTCACCACAGCAAGGTCACCCAACAGAACTCGGGGGTCCGAATCTTTCGAAGATATGGTACACCTTGCCTTCCTTAGGGCTCCTCGTCTAATCTACACCAGGAGCCCGAGTCTAAGTCCTACTATTGAGGCCCCCTGTAGTCTACTTCCTACTATTGAGGCCCCCTGTAGCCTAATTCCTATTATTAAGGCCCCCTATAGTCTAATTCCTATTATTCTGGCCCCCTATACTCTAATTCCTACTATTCAGGCCCCCTATATTTATCGTGCGAGCAGGTCTCTCAGCCATGATGACCTCGAGCTTGATCTTCACGACAGCCGATGTGCCCGAGCTCAACGGGATGTTTGCCTTCGGCATCAGCATGATGTGGCCCCCGGGCTGCCCCAAGAAGAGCGCAGGATTTAGGGGATTCTGGGTTTAAGGGGTTTGGGATTTCGGGTCTTGGGTTTAGGGCTTGGGGTTTAGGGTTGAGGTGTTTGCGGTTTACGGGTATGGGTTTGGGACTTCAAGGCTTCAGGTAGTGTGAGATCCAGGGTACTTGGAGGTTCATGGGTAGTTATAAGTGGGGCAGAAGTAGGGTAACTATACTTATAACCCATATTAGGGGACTTGTAACCCCACTTATAACTACCCATGAACCTCCAAGTAGTGAAGGGACACCGGCAGAAGGAGGCTCCTAAGCTCCAAACCCGAATCACAAAGCCCTACAGTCAACCCTCCAAGCTCCGAATTCCTGTTACACAAACGAAACCGCAAACCACAAGCCCTCGGGTACATATATACACATAATATGTATATATATATATGTATATATATATATATATTTATATCTGTGTGTGTGTAGCCATGAAAGCCCCTACTGAAGAAGTAGTTCTGTTTTGAAGGTTCGGGGCCGGGGCCAGGTCCATAGGGTTCAGGGTTGAGAGAAGGGCCTCGTGCTGCATCTAATGTAGGGGCCTCACTAATTACGACTTAGTATTTAGGGTTTAGGGTTTGGGTTCCTTATATAAGTATAGGAAAATGGGGCCCCAAAACCCTATTCTAGTTATTAAGGCCCCTATATTAGCGTTTTGCGGATGAGGGTCTAGGGTTGACTTAAGGTTCAAGGTTCATGCCTGACTCCAAGAGCAAAGCCCCGAGTCAGATCCGGGGGCCCAGGCTCTCCTCTGCGATCTCAGCTGCGTGGTATGGCGCTTTCGGGCGGATGCAGGCACGAAGTTCTTGGAAAGGAAGGTCGTCGGTATGCGGCTGCTGCCCTAAACCCAAACCCGACACCCCAGGATCTAGAATACCCAGACGTCTGTCAGGCGTCCCAAAAAGCCTCAAAACCTCAAGCTCTAACCCGCAACCCTTCAGCTTAAACCCTACGCTCCCCAAGACGCCTAGAACCCCTATATACACCTCAAACCCTGAAGTAAATCTTCAACCCTCAACAGGCCGGCCTCATTGGCATCAATGACGTCATTGGCATCCTCTGGGGGACGATGGGGGGTCAGGTGGGGCCGCTCCCAAAGGGAAGTAATGCAGCGGCCTAAATGGGGGGTTCCATATTACACTCATAGTATAATGCGCCCCAATCCCCACTCTAATTATTAAGGCCCCTACATTATGGGCTGAGTGTACTGTAGGGGGTCGGAGCAGTAACGAGTAGTACCCCTTAGTTTTCTTGAGAAATAGGCTATGATATGCCCCAAAACCCTATGATAGCTACAAGTGCTATAAAAGCACCTAGAATACCCTCAGGATCCTGATAGTTTTGAGACCCTCAAGAGCAAAGCTAGGCCCCTGGGTTGGAGTAGGTCGGAAGCCTCTTCGGTATCCACGGAGAATGATGGTAGTCAGGGTGGGTGAATGCAGAGTGATTGTCATGATGATGGTGGCCATAAGGGGCTTCTCAACACCTATATCCAATTCTTAGGGGACCTGATCCCGCCAGAACACAAGGCACAACTAGCCTTGCAACCACCCGACGTCCGAATCGTCCTGATTAAGCTGAATCCTGCATGAACCTTGCATGTCGCCCAACTCAGGAACAGAATGAAGTACTACGAATCTCGAAATTCTCCTTCAAGCCCGAAACCCTAAAATCCCAGCTCGCAACTGCCAGGTAGCAGTTGCTCTGGCGGGTGAGCCGGAGAGGACAAGCAGCTAGGGCCAAGGGATCTGAGGAAGCGGTTCCAGGGTTTAGGGCTTATGGTGTTTGGGGCTTGTCGGGTTTATGGATGAGGGATTTAGGGCTTGTAGGGTCTGGGGCCTAGGGTTTAGGGTTTATGCGTTATGTGGCTTGGATGTGAGGCGTGGAGTGTGAAAGACGATCAGAGAACGGCGACCTTCCGTCGCATGTATAGATGGGCTGGGATGGAACGGTTTGGGGTGAAGGGTTTAGGGCCAGGAAGAGACTTTACCTCTTCCTGCCTCCTTGGGTTCATTGATGCTCGCAGCCTCCGAGCCACAGGAGCAGCCATCGTAAAGTGAAAACAGTAGCCATATCGCAGAATATCCACCATAGCCCCTCTATAAGGGTAGTTCTCTAAATTAGGGTCCCTGTTTAGGTCCCCATTATAATACGGCACCCTTCTAAAAAGGACCCCCGAAAGGACCCTAATTTAGAGAATACCCATAAATATGGAGGATTGTGCCTACGCAGCTGGCAATCATCGCCGTGAGCACCATCCTGACGGGAGTTGCCTCAATCGTCTTTGGTCACCTGGGCCTTGGCAAGCTCATGCTTCCTTGATCATTAGAATAGGGCTTGGGGTTTAGGGCTTAGGGTTTCAAAGCAGGGTCGGTTGGGGTTTAGGGGCTTAGGGTTAAAAACAAAGGGTCGTGGGAGATATATGTATGTGTATATATATATATATATAGTGAGATTAAGAAGGATCCCGAAGTCATGGTACTAGGAACTATCCAGGCTTCTTTTCCCAGCGCCTGTGACAAGCGGGTTTCTGGGCTCCATCGGCTTCTTCATCTTCAAGTCCTCCTTGCAGATCTCTTCGGGTGTGAAGTTCCGCTACCTTTGGCCCCAGGACTTCGAGCAGTTTCTGCAAGTCCAGCCCCTGGCCAGGGTCGCCTGCATGTTTGGGGCGCTGGTCTTCATGCGAAAGGTGCCGCCTCGGCTTGTGAAGCTTTTCCCGAAGAGTGCTGTGGTGAAGAAGTTGGGAGGGCTTGTTTGCCAGCTTGTGCCGCTCTTCCTCTTCTATCTGGTGGTGCAGTCCTTCTACGGCATTGGGAAGCAAGTATTTTTCGTTTACTTAGTCAACCAGAAGCCGCAAAGCGTAGAACTAATGACCCTAAACTACCCCCACCCCCCCACTNNCCCCCCCCCCCCCCCCCCGAACCCGAGGATATCAGGCGTGGACATGATGGATCTCTCCGAAGCAGGGTGGACTTACCCACGACAGGCAGGATGAAGCACATGTACGTTTAAGCTCTGATGCCAAGGGCTTTAAAGGTTTCGGATTTCGGGATGTACAGATGCGAGGTAGCTTGAGGGTTTACGTTCAGGGATCACCTGAGTAAAGTGCACTTGCATGCAGAGCTTGAGCCGAATGGAAATGAGATGACTTCAAACGTGAACGTTTGTGTGTTTGTGTCGACGAGACGTGAT